TGATCTGATGGAAGAGAAGATTCCTCAAAATCAGGCATAGGCATAATCCATAACTGGAGACTTTCTTTTACCTTCTATTTGCGCAAAATGAACATATGACAGCATTTGAGATGAGAAGTACTCACAGTCTATATTAAGCAACCCTATCATATCCAATATCATGCTAAGGATGATGGAATGTGCAGTTCAACACATCTGGCATAGCATCACCTGAAGGAGACTGATGTAAAATTTGGATTACAGTAGTAAATTCAGCAAGGTTAGTGCAATTCCCATAGGCTAAGATGTAGATGGTTAAATCAGCACACCTATGGATGTCAAAGTGGAACTCTTAAGGAGTTAGCTGCCAATCCTTTTGGTTTATACTTTCTAGAGCTAATCAAATCAGCAAGATTTGCATGTAGTGATATAACTACCTGATAACTTGACATTTCCAAGATTTTGGTGCTCCCTGCATGATGGTCTTTAAATTGTGTGCAGCCTATGAGAAAGCCTGCAACTGCTTGCCCATTGATAAAATTATTAATTAACAGAATCCCATAGTAAAGATCTGCAATGAATAGCGTTTGCTCAGAAATCTGCATGCAACACAGGAACCTAATTGGAAAGTACTGACCTATTTATTTATATTACATATGGCTCCTTTATAACTTACTTTTTCTCACTGAATGTAAAGCCCAGGACTCTCAATCTGTTTTAGTCAGAGTTGGGTGGCTATGTGTGCTTTCTATGTTTAAAGAGTTTACCTCTATTTGAAGGGGTTCTCTGTTTGATGGGCCATCTAGTCCAAGGTTAGTTTGAAATAAAGAACTTGTAAGAAGGAATATCAAAGGTCTGACAGTAATCCATCCACCATTTAATACAAGGAGAACACACAAGTTACCTGACTCAATTCTTTCCCATCCGATGTATTGTATTTCTATTTAAATTACACTAACTGTCGCAAATTTGCATCTGTACTTGTAAATTAACACAGGCTCATTGGCAATGCATGTGTCAGAGACCTCTCCCCAGAGCTCAGGCAAATGACAGCATTCTAAGAGTGAGCCACCGTAAGAGAAGGTGCGGCAGCAGGTGCAGCCCCACTGCATTGAATGTTCTTAATAGAACTACTGCAAGCAATGGTTGGAAAAAAGCATCTTCTTGGCATTGAGCCCGAAGGAAAAAATCTTGGGAAAGACGTACTTCTGAATACTGTTTACTCTAGAAACCTCCAAGGTTTTGTTTTTTCATTTTCACTATCATTCTTCTGACAAAATTGCTTTTTTTCTTGTTTTGCTTCATGTTTGGGATATTTATATATCCATCTCAGTTTTTCTTAGAGCAAGTCCAATGAAAAATATGGCTTAGGAGGACAGGCTAGGCCACAGAAATTTGATTTGGAAGTTTGCCCTCACTTCATGTTCTTTTGTGATCCTCATACATTATTTAGTGATGTGAGGCAGGAGAAATTCACAGAGCTACCAAGAAACTTGTGTTGGGAAAAAAACTACATGGGGATGAAAAGTTAAGAAATGTCTTGTGAACTGGGCTTCATGCTCAGTTCAAGAAAACCAGTTCTTGGAAATACAACTTTTAGGGACACCAATTCTCAGAATCCCCTAGCCACCATGACCCTACTTAAATATAGTAGAAAAAAAGCAACTCTGTCCCAAGCCTTGCACAGAACCCTACTATCTGCACTTGCCGAATGAAGAGGTTAAAATAACAGTCGCTTGCTGTGCTGCTAACAAATGTTTCTGACTATGCAGTCAGCTGGACGATTTTCTTCTCTCCCCCACCCCTTCCTGCTTTCAAGGTCAATTTAATTCCCTTTGATCTTATGGGCATCATTCACCACCTTGACAAACGTGGTGCCAGAATTACCTTTCAGTTAATAAGAACTACTTTGCCGACTGTGTGGGAAAAATGCATGCTGAGCATTTTTTGTGCCTCAAAAACTGAGTCCAGAGAATTTCTGGCATGTTTCCAGTTCCTTAGAGAGTACATTTATTCATTTGTTAAGGAGCCAAATCACTATGTGATACACTACGGCAATCAGCATAAACACTGTTTGCTATAGTCATATTCCAGAAATACAGACTTTTTTGTTTTTTTTAATGAACATTCATCTTCCTTTTAAACAGCTTTCCAACACACACACACACATCCACTGTCTCCTAGGCAGCATTATCATCTCTTTTAACTCAAGAAGCCATGCTTGCTGGAGGGGAACACCTACATCCACATTTCTTGAAGCTCTTTCCCCTGAAATTGCACTTAAGACTTACTTCATCTGGAATTTGAAGTCATGTCTGATAGAATTGCTCCATCCTCCGGTTCTTTTAACGTTTCAGCCCACTATAATACCTTTCTTTTGCCACCCCACCATTTTTCTCCTTATACTCCGCCCCTAAATTGAGGTTCAGACTTCCCAACATCTTCTTCAGTGAAAACAACTTCCTTCTAGCACTCCAAGCCATTTGCAGTGTTTTTATACCATTCATTATTTGTAGATACCCCAGACTGCCAGAGATGAACAAGTGGGTCCTGGAGCAAATCAAGCCTCAACTATCTCTGGAGGCAAAAATCGTAGCACTTAAGTTGTCCTATTTTGGGCACATCATGAGAATGCAGGATTCCCTGGAAAAGACAATCATGCTAGGAAAGGTTGAAGCAGTAGAAGAGGAAGACCTAGTACAAAATTGATTGACTCCCAGAACAGGATTCTGCCAATTATGTTTTGACTTAGTCACAGTTTGAGGAGTAGACAGTGTTGCTTTTTTCAGCAATGCAGTTGCAGTGGTTTCATGTGATCCAATATTTGCAGAAATCTGATGTAATGGTGCTCATAGCTGGTCAGGCATTGATAAGGAGATTTCTGCACCACTAGGAAAGTTCTGGGATTTGAGGCAATGGAAATTCATTAGGAAATATCTGTGACGTAAGAGAATGAGGACACACAAATATGCACCTTTGAAATTTAATGCAACAAATACCATATGCCAATTTGGTACTCAGAAAATCCCTATATCATAGATATCTTTCTAAATAACCTCTTTGGGACAAACCTGTTGCTATGTGTCTATAAATCTATAATTGGGTGGTGCTTAATCCCATACTTCTGTGAAATAGTGAAATAAGTTGAGGCACAGCCTGTGTTTCCTCACAGCATGAGGCACCTCTTTGATCTTTTCCTTGCAAACCACTTCACAATTTGCTCCCCCTTTAAAGCCTTGCTCAGCTTCTGTAAGTGGGCCAATGAGAGAAGGAGGAGATAGTGGGATAAAGTTAATTCAATAGTACAGCCAGCTTGTGCACCCAGAAATCAAAAGATGACATGATACTGCAGAAAGAAGTGGTCAATCCCCTTGCTCACACACACAAAAGGGAGGGGGGCTGGCTGAGTAGATAAGCATCTGTCTTGAATGCTTTAGAAATAGGATATCCTTTCTTAAGGCCCAGAGTTAGACTGGATAATCCATTCATTGGGGTCTTTTCCATTTCCATACGCTTGAGGCCTCTGTTATGTTCTAGATTAAAGGATAATCATTTATACAAAGGAGAAAAATACCATTAAGAAAATGTAAGACAGACTAAGAAAACCATTTTACTTTTTGAAGAACGGTGAATGAAAACTGAAATAAACAGAAAATAATTTCACAGGCATTCAATCATGGCATTAAAATATCAGCTACACTAAAAACAGCTGTTGCACACAGCAACTTCAGATCAGCTCCTTGATGAAGCTTTATATTGTTAATCCTGCTACATGTTTTGTAGCAACACACAATCCATTCTTGGTTACAGAACGCACTGAACTTCCAAACATTTTCCCACTAAAGGACACTCTGTGGCAAGTTGTTGCTTTTGAAATCAATATACTCAGTGTGGTGACTCTCAGCAATTACTTCAGTCTTTTGAGATACAACGGAAAACTTTAGCCAAAGCAATGTTGTACTTTTTAAAAAAAGTCTGTGGTAAGCAAAACTTATACTTCTGTTTGGGTAATCAGGTATAACTAGGCAAAAGCATACACATCATTGTGAGGCCCCCAAGATGGAGGCAATGATAGGAGTGCCGTCGCTCCCGAAGAATACCCATCACACCCAGACATCCCCACCACGGCGGGAAGAGAAAGGTGTGGAAACCCCTGATTGGGGGAAGGAGAGCACCGGACCCCTTACCCTGAACAAAGGGGTAGACACCCACGATTTGGAGGCGGTCCTGAAGGAGTTAAAGATCACCTGGGAACCGGGGAGGGTTCTGGCGGGAAACCGAGGGGTGGAGATTGAGGCTGGGGTAGGGGATATAAGGGAAAAATCGAGGGATATACCAGGAGGTTGGGAGTGGATATGGATGGAGGATCCCTGGACCCATAAATGGGAACAGGTCCGGGTTCCTCATGAAGAGGCGGAGAAGCGTCGTCAGTTGGGGCTGAAACCTCGGCCTTCGTATTGGGGAGAGACAGAGGCAAAGGAGTGGAGGAGAAAGCTACGCGAGGAGCGAGAGGCAGTGGCTCGTGAGTTAGAGAGAAAGAGGCAATGGCATATCGCAGAACTGAGGAAGTTGGGGGGTTACCCGGCCCTTGGGGGGCAGAAGGAGGAGATGGGTCATCCTGGGATGGCTGGAGCGGAGATGAAGAGACATTACCGCTAATTTCGATGGAAGAAGCTCTGGACCCTGGGCCTGGATCTGTGCCGCCTATAACAGATCCCTGGAACCCAGAGACGACAAATCCGTTTGTAAATAGTTTATGGACACCGTTGAAACCTAGTCATGTTCTGCAAGAGTCTTTGAATCCCTTTGTAGGGGGAAATCCTGTTGGTGTTAACGTAGCAATAAATACTGAACCTTTTGATGTACCTCCACTGCCTTGTCCGTTTTTTGGGGAACAGACAGCCTCACCAAATGAACCCTCACAATCATCTTTTCAAAACAAAGTTCTTGGAGAAACAAAGAGGGAGAAGTAGCTGGTAGATGCACTGTGCCTAGTATACCAAAATTATTATTTACACAGATGGGGGGGCAATTTTTAATGTAATAATATACTTTCACAATTATGTATATAGGTGCAAGAAAACATTTAAGACTTACTAAAAAATAAAAGTTAAATCCTGCATCTCAGTTCCCTGATGCATTCAGCTTAACATTTTGTCTCTAAAGAACATGATATATAAACGTAAATTGCTCTTAATCATCACTCTCTTCTTCATCAAAGGAAAGCAAGTTGCAGTTTTTCACTTGCTTGGTTGTATTTTGGGGGGTTGGAGAAATCTTCTTTGTTTCTTTCTTCTTCTTACTTGATGTAGCTGTCAAACCTGAATACTTCTCTTCTGATGAACGCTTGAGAGGTTTCCTGAACACAATCTTCCCATCTCCAGGATCAAGATCTAGAAGCAAAAATACAGAGGGCCCATTATGTCCTCATCTATTGTACCTGTTTACCTATCCTGTTTCCCAAACTACAATAATTCTTTTTTAAAAATATTTATTTAAGGACAGGGTAGGGTATACAAAAAGTAAGGGGGAATAGGGAAAAGGGAAAAAGGGTTAGGGGGATAGGACAACACAAAGTATACAATCATCCAATCAATTCATATTACAATAACAAATCAACTTTTTGCTTTTTCACAATTTGATTACCCTCCTGCTTTCATCTTATAACTTTAGTTTATTTCTATGTTACTCCAACACTATCTGGTAACTGCAGCCATTTATACGATACATCCCATCATTCAGTTTTCTTTTGAATTGAACATTCTTTCAGCCCATCTGACAGGATATCCATTTTTGTCATTTCCCATATTTTCCCAATAAATTTCTCTTGTTTCAGTATCTCTGCTTTCTTTAGATTTTTAACATAATGCTTTTTAATTTTGGAAGCTGCATAGGTCACTGGATAACAATTTATCCCATCTATGTTACCTGGTGGCATGCCCAATAAAGTCAGTTCTAAAGTTTGTGCAACTTCATTTAACTGTTGTTTGGCATCTAATGTCCCCTCTTTCATCACTTTCATCAGATCTTCTATTTTGCTAAGACCTTCATTCACTTGCTGAAACCCTGTTATTATTGTCTTTTGCATAGTAATCTGCCATTCCTTTTCTATTTCTTGTACAACTATTCCAAAACTTTGAGCTTGCACAGACCAAGTCTCCATTTGATGTCTTAAATTTTGGGGGGCCATCTCAGGCTTTCAAATAAGTGGGGTTTGTATAGATGATACTATGTCCTTAACCACAATGATCGCCCCTTAGACATCCTTCAACAGTTTCCACAATTTTATCAACAATCCAAACCCCTAATCATAAACCTCCCCTTAGATCTCCCTCCAATCTTTATCCAAATATTATAATATAAAAATCAACTTTTAACCCAGCAAATTCAAATTCAAGTAGAACCGTGGCACAATTATTTCTTCTTCTCCTGAGTCTAGTAAGCTACTATTATCAGACTCACACACAGTCCAACAAACCAAAACAACAGTCACAAAGTCTTAGACTGTCCAGTAGTTGTCCTTGAAGCCCATCTTATGATCTTTCTGTTAACCCATTGATACTCCTCAGTCCAGTCGACCACATCAGCTCCTTCTTTCTTCTCCAGAAAACCACCAGATTCTATTATCAAAAGTTCACAGAGTCCAGGAAAGAAAAAAGAGAAATACGTCCAAGCCAAACTTTATTCACAAAACTCAAGTCTTTTGAATCTTGTCCGATGGTATTACCGTCTGGGATTCTTTTCCAGAAACACAAAATTTATTTTTCCGTCTCACTCTCTCGGCTTTGAAACCAGTGTGCTGTATTAAAAGTTAGTTAGTTTCGCTTTTGAGGCAGACTAAGATAGGCTCGCCGCTGCTTTTCTTCTTTCAGCCAAATATTTTCATTCTTATTTTCAGCTTAATGGGGCTATTTCATAAATCAAAGGCTTCAGCTTACTTAGTTGTTATATATTTTAAGCTTATATTGGTTGTTCTCTTCTCCCCTGATAAAGGGTTACTCACGGCTCAGTGCCAAATATGGCTCCCCACCTCCGACCCGTGCTGGGTGATTTCTTCAGAGGGAAGAAGTCCGGGTTTACCACCCATTCTTCTCCTTCTGCTGCTCACCATCTGCTTCAGAGAGAATTCTCCTAGACTCTCCTTCGATCCCCATTTCAAAAAGGGGATCCCAAACCGGACGGGTTCCAGTTTTTCCAGAGAGCTCTTCTCTGGAGCTACTGGCAACACCACAACAAAGCCCCGCCTCCCAAACTACAATAATGCTGCAAGATATCTCAAATATCCTTTAAAAGGGGGATATAACTCAGTGGAAGAACATATCCTTTGCCTATAGAACAGTGATTCCTAGCCTTGTATCCCCAGCTGTTCTTGGGACTAAAACTCCCAGAAGCCTTCAGCACTAGCCGTGCTGGCCAGGATTTCTGAATTATAGTTCAAGAACCCCCTTCAATGTTTGCTGCCTTGTCGTGGTGAAGGGGCTTGAGTAATTCAGAGAAGCTATGGGCTATCCCATGCAGGGACACCCAAGACGGACAGGTCATAGTAGAGAGGTCTGACTAAATGCGATCCACCAGGAGCAGGAATTGGCAAGCCACTCCAGTATCTTTGCCAAGAATACCCCATGAACAAAAACAAAAGGCTAAAAGATATGACGCTGGAAGATAAGCCCCTCAGGTCAGAAGGCGTCCAACATGCTACTGAGGAAGAGCGGAGGACATGTACAAGTAGCTCCAGAGCTAATGAAGTGGTTGGGCCAAAGCCGAAAGGACGCTCAGCTGTGCCTGGAAGTGAAAGGAAAGTCCGATGCTGCAAAGATCTAGGAACCTTGGTAAGCTGGATGTGGTCAAACAGGAGATGGCAAGAATAAACATTGACATCTTGGGTGTCAGTGAAGGAAATCAACCCTGAGTGCTCACTGGAAGGACAGATCCTGAAGCTGAGGCTCCAATACTTTGGCCATCTCATGAGAAGAGAAAACTCCCTGGGAAAGACCGTGATGTTGGGAAAGTGTGAGGGCAAGAGAAGAAGGGGACGGCAGAGGACAAAATGGTTGGACAGTGTCATGGAAGCTACCAACATGAATTTGACCAAACTCCGGGAGGCAGTGGAAGACAGGAGGGCCTGGCGTGCTCTGGTCCATGGGGTCATAAAGAGTCAGACATGGCTTAATGACTAAACAACAACAAGTTCAAGAACATCTGGGGACCCAAGATTGAGAACCACTGCTATAGAAAGTTCCACCTTCAACACCAAGCAATTGTGCAGTTTTCAGTTTGAAACCCCAGGCAGCCACGGCTTGGAATGTGCTGAGCTATGCAATACTATTTTGCTATGAAACAGTTTCATAAGCATAAAATATGATTTTGTTTAAACATTCCATCTCTTTTTTTCCCTATGGCACATGAACCATGAGATAGATACACTACATTTGGTGGAAGCCACATTATCCTAATGATTCACTCCCACTACGTTATGTTCACTCAATATATTTATTTAATTTCATAAATGCAAGGCCTAGGTCACCAATTGTTTTTAAAAAAAAAGGAACAAAGGTGGAAGAAAAGTTGATGTAAATGTCCTAAGAAAATTAACACAGTTTTCTAAAAAGCTGCATTTTGCTAACCACACTGTCCCAACTCAAATATCACAGCCATACTACATAAACAGATTTTGGCATACATGTATCCTCTTCCCCTTTGGCACATGCTGTCCAGCTTCCCTCCTTCCTCATTTATCATCACTACAGTTTGGGGCAATCAGACAAATTTGGTTACCATAAACCACAGTTGGTTTCCACAAACAGCAAAGCACTTTTGGTTTGCAAGAACTGTAGTTTGCATCATCCGAGTGATTCTGAGCACATAAAGGGAAGGTAGGGGGCACAATGCTGAAATCTGTTCACAATAGTCTAATTACAGTTTATCTGGAACATGTGTACTAGGCCATATGTAGCACCAATCAATATGATCAATTAAACACTGCTGCTCAGCAGCTGTTTATTTAAATGATCCCCATTGAAATACATGGTAGCTATTCAAAAGAAATGACTGATGGACTATTATGTCATTACATATAAGTTCATGATAATTAGGGCCTGGGATTTACAGAATTTGTGCACCATAGGCCCAGAAATCTGCAGGAATTCACCCCTCCCCCCCACTAGACCTCTGAGGGATTTAATCAAGTAATCAAAGTTGTAACATGAGTTTTCTTATTCTTACCACTAACACATTCAGACTTGGGCAGTCGTTTTTGTCTTGTGGATAAGACAGGAGAAATGGATGAGTAGGGCTAAATTCTGTGGGAGTTGCAAGGTATCATGAGCCTTTCCCTCCACTAGACTCTGCAGAGCAAGCCTCCCCCTCAAACCCCCCCAAAACACACCACAGTCCCATAAACCTTTGTAGCTGCCACAGAACTTAAGTCTCCTCCACATATTTCCTTGTCTTCTCCACAAGATGAAAGTGGCTGCTTGAGTTTGAACTGTAAGAACATTAAAACACTTGTTAGGACTTTGATTACTTGATTAAAGTCCCCAAAATCTGGCTGGAGAAATTCTTGCAGACTTCTGGCGGTTGTAATCCAAATTCCAAAAATTCCATGCCCAATAACAATATGATAGTTGAATGCTAATATAATACTATGCATTTGCCATGGGAGGTTTATTTAATTAAATTTTTGAGATCAGCAGTATTAGAAGGGAAGACTGGCAGTGAGATTGAAGCATCTCAAAACTGTTTTGCTAGGTATGAAAACTACTGTCATGAATCACAAGGAAAGCTTCATGCTGAAATAGCTTGCAATTTAGATGATTTATAGGTGACAGAGTATTAAAGAAGTTAAGCTTCTTCTGGGCAACACATTTCTCTAAAATAAGTAACAGAATGCTTTAAAAATCAATTTTGTAACAGAAATTTGCCATAAACACTGTAATTGATTGATCTTTATTTAATAACTTACTCTGTGCCCTTACCCCACCATTATCTTGAAATTTATCATAAGCTACAGCTGTGATAGAACATGGTACCTTTTTCATCAAGGCTGTCAGGGAAAGCAGTGCAGTGGTGGACTGAATATGAACAATGTATGGAAAGCAGTATAATGATGGATTAAATATGAACAACAAAGAGAATATAAAGTGAACTCTAATCATAATACAGTGGTGCCTCGCTTAGCAACGTTAATCCGTTCCAGAAAAAACGTCGTTAAGGGATTTAGTCGCTAAGCAATTTTTTAAAGCCCATAGAAACGCATTAAAACGTGTTTAATGCGTTCCTATGGCTTTAAAAACTGACCTTAAGTGAAGATTCCCCCATAGGGGCGGCCATTTTTGGTGCCTCTAAAGCGAGGCAAAACAGGCGGCCATTTTAGAACCACTGATCAGCTCTGCGA